ATCGAGGTGATGTAATGTGCCTTCTTCATGGTGCGGCATTTTGCAAGCTTTCGCCAATTCTTCGTGGGCTATTCCGGACTTCGCAATGACGTATTTGATTGAAGAACTTTGGCGCTTACTTACATCTGCAATCGTTCAAACACACCTTACCATTTACAGTTGTTTTCGTACTTACCGCGATCTTTATTTCTCTTGCCAGACTCATCCCCGAATCACCACGGTGGCTTTTATCTCAAAACAAAATCAAGGAGACAACGACAATTCTCAAGCGGATCGCAAAAACCAATGGCGTGGAAGTCCCCGAAGATCTCGCGTCGGATCTCGTGGTTAGTTATCCGAGACTTTATACTGAAATCTCCACCAATTGTGCATTCGAACTGCTAACCGCTGAAACAAGCCGCGCCATTTTGTGAGAAGTAAAGCTTCCAACAAAGAAAAAACAAGCTTCACCGTAAGAGTGAAGCAATTAATGCGTTAGCAACTGATTCGAATATTGTACGAAGTAAGCCTAGCAATTGACTCCGTCAGATTCTGACGTCACGTAAGGAATACGGCCTCTCCAGGCAGAGAAGCCGTTTTCGTGCTGTCTCTCGCCTCAACGACAACCAAGTGGTGAAAGTGAAGGACGCACTATCGTGAGCAATACGAGCTCGAACATGTGAGCGCGTGGCCGAAGTCCTCAAAACCGAGATAACGCGATGCGCGGATGGCACTGCCGTAACAGAAGGGCGAAAGGAGGGCGCTCTTCCTCTGACCGTTGGCACTCCCGCAGGATTGTTGCTGTGGAACAGCAGCTGATCGCGTGCCATCGGCCGCTAGCAATGATAACACTAAAGGAAAGTGCGCTGAAAAAATAGTGAAAGATGCCCATCAAAATGTTGAGCGAACACTATCTCGATGCAATAAAAGCATGGCCGGTGCATCATGGCAGGCTACGTCGCAGCCAATATCTTCGTAGCCGCATAGCCTTATTGGTTGTGGCTGTGCGCGTTCATGTGAGGTCATGTCACCGCTAGCAGCCCGAGACCTGCTATAAGCTGCATTTCGCAGCACCAATCATCGCCAACATTGAGGCGGGAGTGTCAACAGCAAGGGGAAGTGCACCAACCTTTCCGCTTTGTTTTTGAAAGCGGCCGCTACGAATCAGCCGATGTAGAGATCGTGGCTATTCGCTATGCGCTCGCTTGTTCGAGCGCATATTGCACACGATAGTACAAGGTTAGGAGCCATCTACTGATATCTGCAGAACTTTCGCCCGCATCTTGGCACGCTACCTCACCCTTTTGATGAAAGTTTGAAGTTTCTGCCCCGACGACGCAACCCCCTCCCCCCTCCTCAACGGCACCCGTTCATGCTCCTTCGCCTGACGAAGGCGGCTGCCGAGTTTTGTCGCTGCTTGGTAGGCCCATAGCAAGGAATTTTTCGGGTGAAGGAAAAGGGGGAGGCAATTGCTGATGACCTTTATTTCAAAAAAAAAACATCTGTTTGGATTGCTCATTCTCGGTGAAACACCCCTTCCGTCAAATCATTGAGGGGAGCTCGGGCCCCCAAGAGCACCTCCCATGCTATGGGCCTGCCGCTTGAGACGCGCCCGTGTGCAGCCTCCGCATGAATTCGCTCCCACATAGCACATACTACGCGCGAGGTGACGTCATTGACTTGGAGTGTACACTGAAATTGATGGTGACGACAAAATTAGCTTCGAGCGTTCGTATAATTGCTATCGCAATAAATAATTAAATCTTCAATCGCCTTCCTGAAACAAATCTATGCAGCTTTGTTCTGTTCCTTCTATTTCCCTTGCAATGTCTTGCTCACCGCAATGTTGGTTTTTTTTTTCCTTCCTTTCAAGAAAGTACAAAAAAAGATTGCCGAAGAGAAGGAAATCGCAGCCGCGAGGACTTTTGACCTTTTTCTGAAGCCTCGTATTCGTAGAAACATTCTCATCATCACAGTGAGCTGGTAAGCGGTTCTTTATTGTTACCACTGTATTTGATCTCAACTATATTTTAGAGCTGTTATACCAAAACAACTTTTGCACCGTTACTCAACCCTTCAAGCTACCTCAAAGCATTTTTATTTTATTTTTTCAAAAATATTGCTCCTTGGAGGCATTATGAAAGTCCTATAGCGCAGGTATCTGAGAGCCGCGCGATAAGTTCAGGTAGTACCACTATGTCCCCAAAAAGTCGTTGCAGGGTCTGTGGTTCGAATCAGGGACGCGAATGAATTACTCTTTGATAGTTATGTCGTTCTTTCTGGTAGCGTTACTATAGAAAACGAGATTATGCCATTTTTTTTCTGGAAACATTTCCTTTAATAAACCTTCCTTAACTTAGCAAGCTTAACGATTTTTCATAACAAAGCGAACACTCACTGGTCCCACTAAACTTGTCTCCGCGCAAGTTGTTTCATACTTGAAAGGTTAACTGGCATGCTGGCATGGTGTACGCATCGCATGGTGTAACTGACATGGTGTACGCAAGGGCTCACAAAGAAAAAAAAACGCTGCAATTGTTTTCTATGCTTTTTCGTTACTGTGTCCTCGTGTACCGTTCGCACGTTCAAATTTTCTTCTCACTTGCGCGCACTCAGGGTGGCCAACAGTTGCGCCTACTACGGCTTGCACATTAACGTAACCAACATGAGCGGCAACGAGTTCCTGAACTTCTTCCTGCTTGGCCTGGTCGAGTTTCCGGCCTCTGTTGTGGGCTGGTGGACTATGGAGTACTTTGGCCGCCGATGGAGCAACGTGGCTCTGCAGCTACTCGTCAGCGTCGCCTGCTTGGCGTCCTGCTTCATACCTACGGGTGAGCATCTTCACAACGCTTTCTGTTCCTACTTTATTAAAATGAGCGCGAAATAGTGTGCCTGTTCTGTGGCCTTATTTGTCATGACTCACGGTTTGCGCCATTTTTTATAATTATAAAATTTTATTTTTTTATTTTTTATTTCACGTACAGCCAATTTCTCACAGGGATCATTACAAGAGTAGGTACATATTCATACATTACATACAAATAAGAAGTAATGCGAATGAAATACAGGTTCTATCTGTTAAAAAAGTACATGTCTAGAAAGACGTTTACAAAATTTTCACACTGCTAGTATTTACTACAAACAGACTAAAGAAACACAAGCAAAGAAAAATGTTAACCAACATGGAAAGACGAAGTTTACATATCTAGACTAAACTTATAATAGCTGCTCACAGCTCCTCATTTCCACAAACAGTGGAAATGAGGGGGGGAAACACAAAAAAAAATTATCAACAGGGCGTCATGTGCCCACATCAAACAGCTCCTTCTATGAGTTCTATGAACACTTCTGCTATTTACAACAATGAGTTCACCAAAAAATCCCGGTCTATGACTGTTGCAGTGGCAAAAAAAAAAAAATGAGAAACAACATACGCTGTTAGTGGAATGAAATTCATCTACTTTGAGTCTATGTCTGTGTCAGGTTTCTCTGGAAGAGTTATATGCGACAACTTACGCGAGACATAGCGCATCAATAAATACTATTTAGCTACCTGCTCGCCAAACAGGATATGTTCTTCTAAGTTACATTTTTAGTTCCTTGAACTAGAAATGTAACTGCACTAGATTAAACATGACAAGTCCCGCGGTGTCTGTACCTTATTTCTCTGTATACGCTTGTCCTGTGGCATTCGCCACAGGACAAATAACTTTAACCATCATGAACTACAAGCTCGTCCAAGAGTGGATTCTTTCGTTTCCTTCATATAAAATTAAAACCCTTATAACATGGGCACATTTAAAGTCCCTTTAACTATTTCGTCATTATACCCAGTGAAGTACACTGTCAGGTGGGCACCTTTATGCTAGTTGGTAACAACTTTATTAGGTAAAAACTTTATTGTCCTTCATGCTAGTATAAATTTATAATATAGCTTATTCGCAGATAGAGCTTTAGTGATCTATATTGAAGGCGATTCCCTTTGTAGCTAAGCTCCTACAACAACACACTTGCATACACACATTACAGATCCTACAATGATAATTTTCAGTAGCTATTAATGTTTTTGTCACGTGATCTTGGCCCAACGGGTTTTCTACAGCTACTTATGCGTGTGGTGCACTTTCTCCGCGCCCAATGATTCAACGCGCCCCACGAAAAGCGTGGTGCTGCCTCAACGAGTTTATATAAAGCGAAAAAAAAAAAAAATAACGCTAGCGAGACCGTAATTTACGCCTCTTTATATGAGCACGTTACTGCATATGGTTTGAGAAGCGTGTTGAAGATATACGTAAATAATAGTGCAGCCAATAATGCCGCGTATGTGTGATTGCGCGCCGAAACACTTCCATTTTCTTCTACATACGCCGAACAATCATAGATCAGTGGATGTTGAAATCATTCCATACTTCATTGCACCCCGCTAGCTTGCTCTTTTCTTGTTTTTGATGTATTTATTTATTCGTTCTCACCCATACAAACAAAAAAGAGCATTATCATAATACCCCCCCTCTGTTACAGAGGCGGCCGTTGCCGGCGTCACAGCATCTCTGGTGGCCAAGTTCGCGTGCGCCGCCTCCTTCATGATCATGTACCAGCAGGCGGCCGAAGTGATGCCCACGCCGCTGCGGTCGTTCGCGCTGGGCGCATCCTCGGCATTCTCGTCGGCGTTCAGCATCTGCATGCCCTACATCATATACCTCGTGAGTACACCCCCAACTTTCTTGCCCTCCCCCCGCTCAGTCCTTTGATAGCTGTACACCCAAGGCCCAAGAAGAATTGTGAAAATGCCGAAGAGGATATTAGCACTCGGTGGTGGTCTGAGGAAGAAAAAGAAAAAACTTGAACGCAGTGTTTCACGTGGCTTTCTGGCTGCCTTTTGTGAGGTACAGGCCGTGCCCGGTCGGTGTACTTAAGTCCTCAACCCAGGTCACCAACCGCAGTTGGATATTCGGCATGGCGCTATACAAAGCAGCCTCCCACAGCTGCTAATTTCTTAGGTGCCAAGACGCAAGTGGCAAGTGTTCCTGGCATGAGGAAGGAATTTAGATCCTAGTTTGTGATGAAGCTGCCACATTAGCGATAGGCTGTTGAATTCGGCGGATGGAAGAGCGCAAGGCTTGCGGACGTAAGAAATTTGTGGTTGTCAAGTCAGCGCCACAAATGTTGATTATGCTGAGAAAGGGATTTTAGTGGTGTGTGGAAGGCGAGGTGAGAGAGGCGGTAGTGCAAGGTGACTTTGTGGCGCGTCGCGTGTAAAGAAAGTGAAGCCAGACCACCGCCCTCTTACCATGGACAAACTAAAAAGTTAGAAAGCCGTACCCGTAAAAGATCAAGTAACCGAATATAGCGGAAGCAAATGCGAAGCATGTTTAGATAAACTGTTTTACGATTTAGAGTACTTGGTACTCTACAATGGGAGAGCTCAAAGCCGGCCCGCAGGCAGTGTCCCACCGAGCATAGAGTCCCCGTGGATTGAGAAAGGAAAGTTTATTGTGCACTTAACTTGTACATACACAAACGAAACATCGATAACAACTAAAAACAGTGTGTACGTCTGACAAATGAGCACCCAAATCTAATCGATCACTGGTTATCCAAATGTTACAAGTCAAAGGATAACTAAAATACATCAGGTTAATCAAATTTACAAAATACCACGTATATATACCACGTAAACGTAACAACTGTTTCAAGAAAAATAAACAGTACAACATCTGCAAACCTAAGGAACATACTTGATTGGTAGATTACAGTCGCTATTAGATGAACAGCAACATGTTTTCTGCTCATCTCCATGACTGTCCCACTTTTCCATGCTCATTCTTTAGCTTTACTTCTTCCCCATCATGGACAGCCAACCGGAACTATTTTCGGTTACCCTGCCTTCCTTTCAACGCACACTGTCTTTATAGGTATGCGTGTCAAAGAATTCTTACCGTCTTTCTCTTCTCGGCATTGCTTCAAGCAGTGAAACTACTCTACTTGCACCGTGTGCTCTAAAGCAGCTTGCTACTTTACATCCCTTCTTCCTTTCATTTTTTTTTCATTTCTTTTAGTCAGCGTTCTTTCTCATCATTTGCCAACTCCAAAAGAACGTAGGCACTTTTTTTATCACACAACTCATTTCTTTACAAGGCAATTGCTCTCATGAGCCACGCATGTTGTGCAACATGCGCAACAGGTGTAGAAGAGAGAGAGGATTATGCGCACTATCAGACAGGAAAAGGTTGCTACGTTACACTCGCTGGGCGTAACCTCCTTGGTTTTAGAAAAGTTTGGCGAGCGTTGGGCCACAGTGCCATGAATACAATAAAATAGTATATACCATAAAATTAAGGGCACGGCCATTAAAGCCGCATGTTGTGTAGGCCTACGGGGCGGCTTTATGCTCTCCCATAGTAGAGTACCTAGTACTCTAAATCGTTAACCACTTTTTCTAAACACACATACCATGAACTCGAGGTGGTTAAAGGTGAGAAATGGACCCGAAGCGCAAGCCGTAAGAAAATGTGCGTGTGCCACCTCTCGTTTAGTCGTTGGAATGTCCGCTGGATGGCGGTGCTTCTATATGGGGAATATATGATGAAAAGATGCGAGATGGTGGTACTTGGAGTGTTGAATAAATGGACGAACGGACACACAGACACATGCATGGATGGACACATGAACGGACGCAGGGGCGGATGCACAGACGAACGCAGAGACGGACGCGCGAACAGACGCATGCACGGACGGGCGGATGGACGCATGGACGGTCACACAGACGGACGCATGGATGGATGGAATCACGAACGATTGGACGGACGAATGCTTCGCCCCACTCTCCATCATTCGCTCCGTGGATATGCTGCCAATTTTTTTTTATCGCACAACTCCTTTCTTTATAAGGCAATTGTTCTCATAAGCGACGCATATTATGCACACAGGTTAAGGGAGAGAGGGATATGTGATGCGGAAAAGCAGGAAAGTAAACCAAAAAACAAAAATTATGGAAGTTTTTGGAATGTAACAAATTATCTTTAATCGACCAGGGTCTTTAACGTGCACTTAACTTTACGTACGCAAGTTTTTCATCTACGCAACAGGATATCCGGTCACTACAGTGCCATCTAAATGCTGCTGCAGTGGCTGGGGACTCTAACCCACGTCTTCGTGGGTTCGGTTTCAGAAGCGCCAGTTCGTATCCCCTAACACCACCCCGACGGCTATGCACCGAAGTCACAGCACACGTCGCCGGTCGGAAGGTAAAAGGACAAAGCTGTCAAGCGAAAGATGGTGTGAAAATGTCTCGGGAAGAGCACACGTTCGCGCGAACCACTCGAATCGCTGAAGGTGCTTCCAAGTGAGAGATACGAGGATAACAATGACCACCGTGAAGCGTGGAGGGGCAGATAGGTGAGACGAGCTTCGCGCGTTTCCTGATTTCACTCACACAACGATTGTCTGCAGTCATCGCGTAGGGCATTGCGAAAAGGGTACGAACTAAGAGTGTTGCGTCAAAAGAGCCCAGTGTACGATAGCGAATGTTACGCGCAGGCGCGCCAACATTCGCGACAGCACAACGCCGTCCAGTAAAGTGGCTATCGTGAAATGCCCTACAGAGTCAAAGTGTCTTATAAAGCTGGTTCTGAGGATGTATGACACGCTGGAGCATAAGAAACGCAGTGCGACGTCACAGTATTTTATGTTGTTCCCGTGCAGTCGGGTCACATAAGATATGGCTGTAGATGAGGCAAAATTTCTGCCACTTGCCCTCCACTTCCACACCCCTTCCCGACTTCGCACTATCAAGCGTGGGCAGAATCGTTTAACGCGTAATATTAATAGAAACATTGGTTCTAGAGACTTTCATCAATTTGTCATCACTTCGCGAGTCCATCCTACTTTTACGTTTACAGTTATCTTCACGGGAAGCACTGCGTCCAAAAATGACAGTCAGCAAGGTTACCTTAACAGGAGTTAAGACGGTGACTTCAAAACTATCAAAATTGCTTCATAAATACTTCAAAAGCTACTAAAGCCCACGCGAGCCCATTCGCGTACGCAGATCAGCAGCAGCGGCTGTTCCGTATCTTAAATAGCCTCAACCAGATCAATGTGCGTCAAAACTTAAAATGCAGATATGTTTCCCTTGCGGCGCAAAAGCCCCTCGAAGACGAGCGTTAGCATCTGAGAGTGCAATCTGCTCCGTGTCAGGCATACGGGTACCGGGGGATCAACGTATACATGCAGGAACGGCCAGACGTTTTCGAAACGTAACGATCCACTTTGTCGAGACTGCCCCGCTATCGGATAAAAAGAGAGAGGCGTCGCTGCACAAACATAGACGAGCGGGCCAAGTTCTCGCGAAGAGCCACGGACGACGCTGAACAAAGAATGAAAGATAAAGCAAATGGTATCCGGATGGCCTCGTCTCATAAAAGCCTTTCAGGTCAGGAGGTCGGCACCAATGACACTCGCGACACTATGACATACGCTATCGTTCCTCTTACTGTTCTGGCGCTATAGTTCACTATCTGTGTTTAGAAAAAGTTGCTAATGATTTAGAGCATGAGGTACTCTACTATGGGAGGCATAAGCCCTCCCGTGGGCCGTTAAGAGGCCGAGAAGTCCTGTAGGAACTATAGTTCTGTCCTTTAGATTACAGTGGTAGCGTCGTATACAAGGAAAGCCCAGCGCTGGCCAGAGTAGAGAAATAAGGTCTTCAAAGATGAACCGGCTGGCTACAAGCGCAGTGGTATGCGTCGTTTCCAATAACTGATGCTCTAACAATTAAGGGCTTGTCGGCAAATAGCCGTTTCTGGTATGGCACCCTGATATTTCTATAAAGGTAACTTGTCAATTCGCATCGCCACATTTCGTTGTTACCCGGATATGAACGCGTGAACGTTGTTGTTGCCTGTAGCAACTGAAGTGGTTGATTGATTAATATGTGGGGTTTAACGTTCCGAAACCACCATATTGTTATGAGAGACGCCGAAGTGGAGGAATCCGGAAATTTTGACCACCTGGGGTTCTTTAACGCGCACCGAAATCTGAGCACACGGGCCTACAGCATTTCCGCCTCCATCGGAAATGCAGCCGCCACAGCCGGGATTCGATCGCGCGACCTGCGGGTCAGCAGCCGAGTAGCTTATAGCCACTAGACCGCCGCGGCGGGGCGCAACTGAACTGGTGTGGCGTCGCTAAGCGCGTGAATGAGAATGCAGACAGTTGCAAGGGAAAAAAAAGCAAGAACAAAAGAGGAAAGGAACCAGAAAAAAATGAAGAAGAAAAGAAAGCAAAAAAAGAAAGGAAGAAAAAAGGACAGAAAAAAGAAAGGAAGAAAAAAGGACAGAAAAAAGAAAGGGAGAAAAAAAGAAACAGAAAAAAGGAAAGAAAGAAAGAAAGAAAGAAAGAAAGAAAGAAAGAAAGAAAGAAAGAAAGAAAGAAAGAAAGAAAGAAAGAAAGAAAAAGCCGTACGTCAGGCACTCGCACGCGAAAGTTCCTGAATTTAACCATTCAAATCGTTCGTTTAACTTTTCTTGTGATACGTTTCTTGCGACTCACGTTCTGACGGATCCTCGCCACACGTGTTCACGTCAAGATTAGTAAATAGATATCTTATGTGCGATACAGCCTCGCCAAAAGCTCTTCTAATCTTTATTGCGTGTCTTATCGCGTAGATGCACCGCTATAAGCCTCATCGTGTTTATTCGGGAAGACGCGCTGCCATCGCAGCCCCTCCGCGGTGGTCTAGTGGCTAAGGTACTTGTCCGCTGACCCGCAGGTCGCGAGATCGAATCGCGGCTGCGGCGGCTGCATTACCGATGGAGGCGAAAATCTTGTAGGCCCGTGTGCTCAGATTTGGGGGCACGTTAAAGAACCCCGGGTGGTCGAAATTCCGGGAGCCCTCCCCTACTGCGTCTCTCATAATCATATGGTGGCTTTGGAACGTTAAAACCCCACGTATGAATCAACGCTACCATCGCACTGGTTTACTGCCATTGCTTTACTACAAATTAGATGTGTGCGAACCCTCGAGTTTTGAATATCTAATCGAATATTTGACTTTCCAAAAGCTACTGTTCGAAGTTGACGAGACGAATACCTAAAACACGACAAAGTGTAACTCGTCTAGCTAATACTAACGCTATAGTCATTAGTGAAGGCCTTTCGTTAAAACACAGTTATGTTGGTTCAAAAAGGAGCACATGCTTATTCCAGATTACGTCATATCTGTGCGTCATGGATGCATCAAGAAGGTCAGGGAAGTGATTGAGAGACGATCAAACTACTAGCGTAAAAAAAAAAAAAAATCACCGCCCAAGCACTCTGTAAAAATTATCAAAGGGACACTAAAGGCAAATAAAAAATTTGGTCAGAGTGAAATCTCAATGAACGAAAACGTCTGAAACGACAATATTATCAACAGAAGTGCCCCACTTACCGATAAATTAAGGTAAATGCTCGAAAACACACGCGCCACGAGTAGAACATTCGCAAAATGATCCCGACAAGGGAGAGTCACCACCTACAATTATTCAATAGTAATTAAACTAGCTGCACTAAATAAAAAACCTTTCATGCACCATCAGGAGACGTAATAAAATGCTGCTTGTTTGTTTGATTCGTGGAGAAAAGAACCGCCAGACGTTACTATGGGGAACGGCGCGAGTGGTGCGAAAGTTCAATTTCCGTCTGGTTAAACTGGTCAGGTTGGAGCAAGCACGCCTGCCATCTCGGAGGCCATGGCAGGAAACGGTTCAATGGCCGTTGTTTCCTGCCGTGGCTCCCCCTACTTTCACTCTGCTGCTACTAGTGTTGGTGGCCACACAGTGAAGCCAGGCAACGTTGTGCACGGTAACAGTAACGTGAGTGTTACCGCGTTGAGGACGGTAACTTGAAGTGTGCTAACGCGATGCGGACCACTAAAACGTGATTTCGTTTCGAAATAAGCACTTCCTTGGCACAAAACTAGCACTACCACGTATCGGGACTTATTAGTCAGCAATCAACATCTACCTAATATTTTATTTTAGTGTCCCTTTAACTAGCGAAAGCTGAAAAGCGTGGCGGCAATGTAGGGCTCGCATGGTGGGCCCATCGTGCCCACTTCACCACACGTGCCGCTCGAGATATTGTTTTTGTAGAGGCGAGAGGAGATGCAGTGGCCAAGCGGCAAGCTAGTCGGGACACTGGAGTTTATTAATATCCAAAGTTTAACGTGCCAAAATCGTGATATGATGCTGAGGTACGCCGTAGTCGAAGGCTCCGGAAATTTTGACCATCTATTTAAAGGACCCCTAAGCCACCACACGCCCAAGCCCAAGTTGAAATGCGAGAGGGGCTTCCTCCTTGCCATCACTAGCCTTCCTTAATGCGATATCAACTCGCCCCTTATTTTTTGAAAGCACGGACACAATGTCAGCACTTAGCGTTGTGCCCCTACTAAAATTCCCCTACCGGATTGCAACTACTGACAACTCGTATGTAAATTATTTATTTATTTATTTATTTATTTATTTATTTATTTATTTATTCAAAATACCTTACAGGCCCACTGAAGGGCATTGAGTAAGGGGGGCATCAGTATACAAACGAAATAACAATAAAGGAGAAAAGCAGACGAAAAAATATATACATATATAAAAGATTACAAAAATCAAGGTGTAAGAGCGCTATACAATACTAGAGTGCAACGAAATCAGGTTGTCACGAAAAATTTCACGGTTACAAATGGATACAACATGATCCGGAAGGCCGTTCCAATATGCAATGGATCGAGGTAGTGATGATAAGTTAAATGCCTGCGTGTGACCATGAATGCGCATAAAACTACGGGCATTGTGAATGCGCTGGGAAAGGCGCGCAGGAGAATAAAGTGGCAAACAGTGAATTTCGTTACTATAAATGTACCTATGAAACAGACATAAAATAGCAATGTTGTGGCGTATTTCTAGTGACTGAAATGCAAGGACTTGTTTTATTAGGGTCAAAAGACACCGGTCAAGCACCGATAATTCGAGGTATTTCTGTTAAAGAGGAGTGAATGGTCTAACAAGTTAAATGTACACTAATTGAATCATGAGCTAACTCACTCACACTGAAATCGAGCCGTCAGTCTGGGTGCACTCTCACCGAGTTTTGTTATGGCGAGCGAGTCCCAGCGAGCTTGGTGTAAGAAAATTGTAGTGAAGCTGAATCGGGGGTGGTCGAGGAAAATTTTGGCGAGTCCCAGAGGTAAATTATATTTCATGAGTGAGCTTCACATTTCTTGCCGACCTATGTCTACCTTTGTTGAGAAACGCGAGATCGAATAAAAAAAGGGGTGAGGTGCTAGCTTTACTTCGTGTAGTGTTCGAATTCGTTGCTATACATCCATTGTTTCGCCCTTGAGGCAAAACATTTTTTTTTTCTCTCGCTTTACCATAACCGAAAAGTCATTCGTTCTTGCTTCTAACATTTTTTTTTTTTCGCAGGGCCGGTACGGCAACTGGATTCCCTTCATGTTCCTCGGTTTACTGGCGGCCGCGGCTGGCATATCGGCCGCGTGGCTGCCCGAGACCAACGGCTACGTGTTGTGCCAGACCATTGAAGACGCCGAAGAGTTCGGGAAGGATCAGCAGTTCTTCTCGCTCAACAGGTGAGCCTATAGAGCAAGTCAAGAAAACCGAGACGAGGTGTATTTTCATTCTGGGCTCAACATAATTAAACCAGCTGACAGTCTAATGAAGGTATAGCGTACATTGCCTGTACGTTTTTTTTTGTGTATTATGTGAATTATGGCATAACTGTAAAGGAACTAAGGTGGGAGCACGCACAAGTTTGCGACATGAAGGGAGAGAACCTGTAACCTTCGGGTAACACATCCGATGCTCTACCGACTTAGCTGCAGGGCCGGTCGCTTTCCCGTTCCATTCCAACACCCAGGACGTGTTGTTCCATTCTATTGCATACTTATGTTTGTCTCATCCCGGGAGTTGGCCAGCGCCTCCCGCGGCCATGACGGCGAGTTTGTGACACCCTTTTGTAGCAAACTGGCATGGTGCAGTTCGGTATAACTATGCAACAAGTTGATTTTTCATTCATTTTGATTCATTTGCATTTACTCCATATCTACTAGAGTTAAAAAGAATGCTTTATTTATAGCGCCCTATACTTTTCTTAGTTTCATTGTCTCTTGCTCTCGTTAGGTATTAGTTCGAGTCCAGAAAAGAGGCACAAATGTACGATGGCCGACTCGTGACGATGTCACTGCTCCAGCAGTACATTTTTGGGTGACAAGCATATTTACTGCAGCCCAGAGGGATTTGTGACAACCCCCAGGGAGCCTTTGTTGAAAGGGTATAAAGGCAGTCATTAATGAAAAACGGTGAACATGTTTCGACTTACAAGGTACTACTTCGAAACTCTGTCTTTACATGTAATTCTGTGGCAACAGATATTTTGTCAGTAGAAAAAATACGATCATACGTACCACGGAGTCTAAAATTTTGAAAAGCCACGCCATGTGTGTTCCACTCTATATGACCAAGAAGTAGTCTTAAACACTTGCTTAGTTTCTAAAGAGCCAATCTGCTTTTTTTTTATTCTCTCCTCTCTTGGGGTAAAACGATCACTGCACTTAAACAGACATCGTCAAAATTGCACAACGACGTTGGAACAAATGCGAAACATTGAAGACGGCATCACCTCCCATCTCTCTTTCGCTTTTGCGTCACATAGGTCGTTATCAAATCTGGTGCTGCTGAAGCGCCACGACTACCCAAGTCTGGTCGTGCGTAACAACATCGATGGAATAACTGCATGCTCTGTAATTTTTCTTTAAGGCGCAAATGTAATTTTATTAACCGGAAACTTGTGTCAACCATCTGATTTGCACTGCTTGGAGCAAACCGCGATCTACGAAGCTGCAAACTATTGATCTATTTTCCTTAAACCGATTGGTGCGTCTGCGAAACTGTGAAATCAAAAACGTTACGCGATCTTTCATACATTTTTCTAAGACGACTAGAAAACGAAAACCATCCTCTCTTTCTTCGTAGTCGATTGTACTGACCACCCTCCTGTTCCACCTCAAGCTTTCTGCATCGAATGTGGTTTTACGTTGCCTCCGAGATCATGCCACATTCAACCGAGCGACAACTTTATGTGATACGTCACATGTGATACGTCAGGTTATGTGACGTCATAGTCACGCCACGATGGCGCCAAATTTAGGTAACTTGTGACCTCATAACATTTTTTATCTTTTCATCAACCGATTTGACACTGATAGCCACTTTTTTTCGAGCGTGATGAGGCAACTAAACCTTTCGCCATAACACATAACCGCATTAACGCAAATGTAGCTGCTTGACGAGTATCTTCTGATATTCCAGTTTACTGGTTACTTCGTCGATCAAGTGATTTTCCGTTCTTGTGGGCAGTACTCCAATTCTTTCTTTTTTCCTGTCACTTTCACGCAGGAGAAAAGAAAAAAGGAAAGACTACGACAAGAGCGCCTCCAAAGAAAAAGAAATGGAACCCATGACCAAAGCCTGACAGCATTTCATCGTCATCACAGTTTATGTGTGCAAGATCCACCAGCCGAGCTGTCGACCATTGTACTTCGAACGAACTCATCTGGCTCCTCCACTCATCTGGCTAATACTGACGTGTACAATGTGTACATTAGTGTACACATTGACGTGTACAATTGACGTGTACAATTGACGTGTACAATTAGCGTAGAATGCGACACTTGCGCTTACATTTGACTGACATGCATCGCAGTTTAATTCAAAACAACATTATCTCAGTGAACCGAGTGTTCTTAAGCGAATAAGAAGTCGGCGCCGTGAGAATAACCAAACATTCGACTTAACGTAAAATGCATGAACTGCAGCTTGTTCCAAGTAACAGAAAAAAAAACAAAGGTTACGGAGCACACGCCTTCATAGCTTAGTGGTTGAGGTGTTGCACTGCCAAGCTCGAAAACACATGTTCGAGTGCCAGCTACGATGGCCGCGGTTCGAGGGAGACGAAATGCGAAAGCACCATGTACTCAGACTAAGGTGCATGTTAAAGAGATGTAGATTGGAGGAATAAACTTTATTATTCAGAAAGCGGAGGGGAAATGGGGGAAACCAAGTTTGACGGGGGCTATGTTGAGTCCCAAGGGGCCGCAGCACTAGCAGACCAGTCCACCAGCTTGACCTGTATATTATATAAAATGTAACGTTAAAAGTGCTGCCCCCCACGGCTACCCTCATAATTATAACATCGTTTTTGCGCGTTAAACCACGACAGCTTTCGCTAGCTCGAGAATTCAGTGACACTTGTTCTTGCTTTTCTTTCAAACTCTCGACCACACCCAGTTTTTAGAACATTCGAAAAATTCTTTAAGAGAAAAGTTTTTGCTGGTACAATATCGACCGTTCTCTAAGGGTTATATTACATACATGTAATATCGAACCATCAGTTTACGTATTTAAGATAAGCACCATTTGGGTGTCGCAATAATAAATGAAAATTGGGCAAGTTCATTGAAGGAGCAGACTTTTCTTGCGAGCAGCTGGGGTCATTGCGCCACCTGGCGGAACAGATTCAAGGCACACCTTTTTTAGTGAGAGGCCTCCGAGATTTTCTTCGGCAGTGCGGCGAAGCCCAAACTTAACGCAGGGCACGCGAATGGCAGAATGCCGATGTGCGAGTGCAGCTACCAAACAATCGAGTCAAGGATTAACGATTGATTGATATGTGGGGTGTAACGTCCCAAAATCACCATACGATTAACAAGTCAAGGATTAGAGTTACGTTCTTGTACACGTTACGTTGGGAGCACGGAGACTAATCGGTGTGACCCCGAAACTCTCTAGTGACCTTCAGAATTCGGCCAACCCACAAATGCGCTCACCAGTTTCGCGTGTTTACATGTAGGAAACTTTGCCTTTAAAAAACGTTGTCTGTCTGATGCAGGCCGGGCCGCATAACAAGTTATTGACCTGTCGTTTCATTCACAAAGGCCGTTTCATCTACACCTCCACTGAACAAAATAAGCTAAAGTTTCATACTTAAATTACGTATAACTTTTTTTCCGTACCAGCTTTTATGATCGACAGATGCTTTGTTTTATTTTTACCTGAGACAGTCTAATACTATCAGTGCTGTTTTATATTACCTGGATATCTTCTGATAATTTTTCGTTTTTGCGTAACTAATTTTCATAACTGTTCTTTTACGTCAATTTTCAAGCAAAGGCACAAAATTGTCGATTACACCTTGATAACAAGAGAAATTGACATCACTCTCAATGTACAAACATATTTAGCCATTCGAAATTTGCTGTCATACAGCCGTTGTTATCGTATGATATTCTACTTAAAAATGAGGATTCAGTTTGTATATGTAATCAATGAATACGTCAAAGTACGACCCTGGTAACGCAAAACAGAATGTTGTACGTCAAATGAAAGGTTTCAGTCTATCGCGTCTTAATCGACGCTACCACAGTTTTTGCAATTCTTGCGGAGAATAAAGTGCAAAATGTGAATTCGCACCAGAACCTACCCTTGCCTCAATTGCCCCTTTCGAATTTTCACCTACAAGGGTAATGTTTTTTGCGCAGTTCACTACTGACACGACGTTAGAATATGCAGCATCCAGCTATCTTTCTTGGTCGCGTGTCACTTTGTTCACGCGTCAACTACTTCCCAGTATTGTCAAATTCATGAAATACATTCGCGGTGCAAAATGATGTGCTATTGGCGAACTGCATCCGTGCCGTTCACTCAATCGCGTTGCCCGTTTTATCCCTGATGACAGCATAAGCAATAAGGTATAACATGCTTACACCACACTTGACCACGTGACTCACTTCAAATTTCCTAAAGCAAAGTATTCGACCAAATTATGTGGACACGTGTTTTTTGTCCAGAACGATGTCATTGATTACTGCGTGCCAATATGACTCACTTGCGTAACGGATTGCCGAGGAACGTCTCCTTCCTCCTCTCAAGTTTGAATCACCCGTATCCAAACGGACGGCTTGTCGTAACGCCCCTACATGACCACCCAATAGTTGGCGGATTGGTTGAGAGGTTTGCCGCTGGTCGGCACAGCGTGTCAATCTGGCCTGCTCATTATTTCTCCCGTAAGTCTATTTCACCGTTCATGCGCTTTCTGTGAGAGTGTCAGGCGCTCTAAACACTTTCTTTCTCATTTCGCCTCAACGCGAACGCTGAAAGTTACACAGTGGGTTATGGAAAGGCCGCATTAAGACTTGTGAAAACTTGTGGCGCACGAAAAAGACACGGACTGAGAAAGACGACGGGACGATGCACCGAGTTCCAGCAGAATCTTTTCCTGAAGTCACGTCCATGCGCCAGCGCGTATCACGACCTTGAATATTTTTTTTTACTTGATAACCTTAAAGAGCTCGTTTCGCTGAAATTCCAGCGTCAGCGTCGTTGGTTGTGTGCGAAATATCACCTCGTGCGTGACAAAATTGAGAAACATGTATATAATAAAATAAAGAATTCTGGGTACGAGTGGCGATTGAACCAATAGATGTCGTTTGAGTGGCAAGCTGGTGCTCTACCACACAGCCACGCACCTCTATCTATCTATACTATCTATCTCTCTATCTGTCTGTCTCTCTCTCTATCTGTCTGTCTCTCTCTCTATCTGTCTGCCTCTCTCTCTATCTGTCTGCCTCTCTCTCTATCTGTCTGTCTCTCTCTCTGTCTGTCTCTGTCTCTCTGTCTGTCTCTGTCTCTCTGTCTGTCTCTGTCTCTCTGTCTGTCTCTCTCTCTCTCTGTCTCTCTCTCTCTGTCTCTCGCTCTCTGTCTCTCTGTCTCTCTGTCTCTCTCTGTCTGTCTGTCTGTATGTCTGTCTGTCTGTCTGTCTGTCTGTCTGTCTGTCTGTCTGTCTGTCTGTCTGTCTGTCTGTCTGTCTGTCTGTCTGTCTGTCTGTCTCTTTTTGGACATGGTATTTAATAGACTGCGTACGGAAACAGTACACGGTCCCACACATAGTTGCACTGTTGATGTTCTGTGCTTGCTAATACAGTGAAGGTAACTTCCCCTGCTTGCATGTTTTACAAACACACGCGTCCTGTACACATGCTTCATAATACAATGTAAGTATTGCAACAATAATGCATGGTACAAGCGTACATTGCCATCGGGTGTCATGACATGTGAATATCATAATGACTTCATAGGTTAAAGACGCTCAACAACTAAAAAAAGCACACACGTTACTGCGCCTATTCTCTTAAGGCCACGTAGTGGATGCATAGCATGTTCAAAAAGATTTGATGTATTAAGTATATGTGGTATGCACTAGGGACAGAATATCACTATCGCGTTCTGCCCTTATCGAAGCTTAAGGTTCCCCTCCCCCCTCCCCCCCCCCTTTTTTTTTTTGAAAGCATGATTCCCTTTCAGTGTGATCCCGAGCACGGTGGTACAATATTACAATTAAGTTACAGCACTGCAGAGTGCAGCCAGCGTCTCCTCTATTTTATCAATGACAGCCAGATGCGCCCGATCCAGCCGCTCGCCACCTTCTCCTCTAGCCCTTTCCTGCTCTCGCCCCACACCTAGCCTTCGTGAGTGCTTTGCGGTCATGGGGGAGAGAGTCCATCATGTAGTGCCTCACGACGGAAATCATATGAAGTAATTTTTTGTTGAGTTGCATACAGATCCGTGGGGTGGCAGTTTACATTCCTCGTGATCATAATGTTGGCTGTCTCGCTAGCTATGTAAAAGATACGGTGTTCTGAGATAGCGTGTCGTCGTTTGTGGCGCTATGTGGGCAACCAATGGGGAAGCGTTACTGCAGCACAAATGCATGGACGGACTTTGAGATCGCTGTGATGCAGCGGCAACATTGCTTCGAGCCACAAATGAGTCCGAAGAAACAAATCTGACAGGCGTATGATATTGGAGTGGGAAACACGTCTGTCGCATCTCCGGGTATAAACCGCTCTGAAGCAAGTGTGACCGCATCACGACCACTTCCTTAAGTAAGGCGGACCAATGGTTCCCATTTAGTAGCACCCGTTTGTACTGGCATTGAAAAAAACAGAGGAGGCGTTGGCGCAGCGCACGCATGTCGCGGCACGCCGTGGAGGCCCCGGTAACTATGCAACGCCTGACGCAACGCTCATGGCGTATCATCTGTCGAGAGAATAGGAGGGGACATTGAACCATGAAAGGTCCGTACATCATATGGTTCGCTATAATGATTGACTCATATGTTCGCGGAAGCTTGGACAACCAACAGGCAACGTTTCCTGGCCACTTTCATAAAAATGTGGTGGGGCCCCTTTGAGCAACATCGTCTACATCACAACAGTGTAACTTGCAGTCCACCCAACCACTCTCGTTCTTGAGTCAAGTACTCAGTGCGAGAACTGCCCCGCCGCGGTGGTCAAGTGGCTAAGGTACTCGGCTGCTGACACGCAGGTCGCGGGTTCAAATCCCGGCTGCGGCGGCTGCATTTCCGATGGAGGCGGAAATGTTGTAGGCCCGTGTGCTCAGATTTGGGTGCACGTTAAAGAACCCCAGGTGGTCTAAATTTCCGGAGCCCTCCACTACGGCGTCTCACATAATCATATGGTGGTTTTGGGACGTTAAACCCCACATATCTATCTATCTATCAGTGCGAGAACTTTTAATATCATTTATCTTTCCTATTTGTACATACTCACCATAACTTTATTTCACCGTCTTCTTGACTTGTATATGGCTTCCCTTCTTATGCATGGTCATTATCTCGAAAAGGGACTGATTGATATGTGGAGTTTAACGTCCCAAAACCACCATACGATTATGAGACACGCCTTAGTCGAGGGTTCCGGAAATTTCGACTACCTGAGGTTATTTAATGTGCACCCAAATCTCGAAAAGGGATGTTTAGTAGAAGTACATTTGAACTTGGAGTAAAGTACATAAGAACTACACAATAGAGGCCGAGATTTATGACAGATACCTCATCCTAGCTGGGTGTCACCCATACTTGGAGAATAGTAAGCACTCATTACCGTTTGAACAAGAGACTTTCAATATGTAACGGAAAGGACTCGTATTAAATGTGAAATCAATAGAAAGGTACAACACAAGGAACGCGCGCGTATTAGGTCTCCTTCAAGCTTCGTATACCTCGTATCTCAAGCTTCGTAGCTTCGAATCTCAAGCTTGAAGCTTCGTATCTCAGCTTCGTATACGCCACAACGAAAAAAAAAAGAAAGCGTAATGAATTCTTACCCTTCAAAAACCACCCTTCGAGTTGCAACGTCTTCTCTGCAACTCCCCGCAGGCATCGAGTGGTCGGCCTTCCTTTCACTTCCACACTGGGCTTCGATTGCCTAGGACTAATGGTCTTGAACTAACGAACTCCTCGAACTAGACACCACTGTGGTACTCCTTCCGCTGCATGCATGGTCATTAAGGCTGAAGAAGCGCTGTACAGGGCGGCCGCCGCTTGTTTCGAAAACTTTCCTTCATACAATATTTCAGAAACCGAGACGTACGAACCTCTCCCACGCACGCTTCACTGCGGCGCTGCGTAATTTAAGCATATCTTCGCGGACCACCATTAATACTGGCGCCGGAGCAAAGCGTCGGCCTTGCGAGAAAACCTCGCCTTACAAGGCTTCCCAGAGTACGCGAGTCTGGAATCGTTCGCCGAAGTAAACAGCGGTCAGGCCTATAATAGTGGGGTGTATCGCCTATCGCGCCGCTAAATATTTCATTATACAATACGCCGGGAGTCGGCAAGATGCTCGGTTCAACACGGTACTTTCAAGCTTGCATCGCGGCAGCCAATCGCACAACAAGGCAATAATTATTGATGCAAATACGAATGCCCTTATCTAGGTTTGTTATAAAGTGTTCGGGCCGCACTTTACTTTCCTATTTAAGGCGGACGTTGAGGACGTTTGGAAGGCATAGTGCTCCTCAACCTTGCTATTCAATGCCCACACGATGAACACATTCACGTTACTTCTACTGCTAATCATCAAGGCGCCGTGGGGGCTCGAAGGTAACACGTATTTTTTGTGTCATTATCATCACGCACATTCAAGCTGCGCATTGTCGCCCTTACGTGAGAGGGCATCCATTTGCTCCTTTTCATTGGCCACTGTACATCCAATTTTCAAGAGTGTCAAGCCAAAATTACTACTATATAAGCGGAGACATCATGCAAACGCACAACAAACTCAAGCAAGTACTTATTCTTGTGCAACTCCGTAAACGTGTACCTTTCATGCACCTGCGACAATGCACTTAAGGAACTCGCAGTTGGTTGAAATAATGCGGAACCCTTCAATGCCATGCGCCTCAATCATGTTGCGGTTTTGTTACTTAAAAAGCCGAAAAAAATGAAGATTGTTAACTCTTCCATGTATCTTCCTTGCACAGTGGAAAAAAAAAACGTTCGGGACACGGTTAATCTCTGATGAATTACAGACTTGCGGTTCACAACGTGACATCAATTTTCTTCTTTCTCCTTTTGTTTATAATATTACACGTTTGCTATGAGTTTTCCTCGTGGTAGAGCATCATCTCGCTGAAAATACGGCAGCTGCAGGTAATGTTGTAAGTGTTCAATTCTGAGTTACCCCGATAGGACACACGCTGTAGACGCTGGAGAGGAAAGTATACGAGCATCGCTCAGACCTAAAGGTTCGCGTTTTAATTGCAGTGTACTGCACATCCGAATTTTTCACAGCTCTGACACCTTTTTCTTTTCGTCCACAGTTGTTCGCGGAGGGAAGACTGCGCAAAACTGCGCGTTTCCGGCTAGCCTGGTCAAAGATGTTACCCTGACCATACTGCAAGCTTCGCACGTGGTGCTCTACGTCGACCAAGACGCTCGTAAGACGTTCTTTCGAAGCGTGGAGCACGTTTGAGCTGAACTTCGCCCACATAGCATCCTGGGTCGTCTTATCCAGTTTCTCTTATAAATGTGTTTAAAGGGGCCGTTGCCGCAGAAGTGTCTCGAATCCGTCAAGAAGGAGCGGGGTCACTACTGAGGTCTGTCACGCACTTTAAGCTCTTTCTGTCTTCTCTCGTCCCAACGAGCACGCTGCGAGCAAAGACGTGGCGCGGGGAAAAGAACATTAACGATAACTATAGCAGACAATGATGCCGAGGGAAGTACAGGGGATGTTGTTAGTCTCTTCCATTGCCTGTTGGCGTCACGTATCACGTAATTTTATGCAAGAGCTGGCAGCTAATCAATAATCCTTCGAATAATGCCTCAAATCATCAAGTCTCCCAAAAAGAGACCCTCGCTATATGAATGAAGAAAATATGTTGAAATTTAAAGGGCTCGTTTGCCTTTGTTAGACGCAGTATTACATTTGTTAGGCAAAATGAACGTGTTCCGCACTCGCCGTCATGGCTACATTGGCGGCACTAACTGATGCTTCCATTCGGCTGCTGACCCGCAGGTCGCGGGTTCGATTCCCGGCAGCGGCGGCTGCATTTCCGATGGAGGCGGAAATGTTGTAGGCCCGTGTGCTCAGATTTGGGTGCACGT